TTTAAATTAATGTACCAGATGGACATTAAAATAAAATTTAGGAAACTACCCTATTCCATTACGAGACCATTGACCGATCAATGATCGACTAATCAATTTAGCAGATTAGGAACTTTTAGCAAAATGACAATGGGATCGTGTTGGATTATTTATTTATTAATAATAAACGTACATGGTATGCCTTATAATCTAACGCCATGTCCAACAAAACTATATGTAAATAGTTTGACTGTTGGATCTTCTATATTTAAATTACTATTTAGTAGGTATTAGTAGTTTACTATGATAATGGTTATGATTAATTTTAAATACATGTGGTTATGGTAGTGTGCTAAACAGATATTTTTTTAATTTAGTCTTAAATTTATTTTTATTTTTCTCTTCCCTGACTTCGTTTGGCAAATGGTTGAGTAAGTACGGGATACGCTTTTTCATTGATCGATCACCATAAACATTATTAACCCTTGGTACCTCATATTTACCAGTTGACAACAATTATAAAATTAACAGACTTGAGGCCCTGTAGAGTTTGTTTATTTAAACACCCTCGTCTTCAGAATTACTTGTTCGAATTGAATCATTATTTTTGTGTTGAATAGTTAGAGTTGTCATGCTCACTCAAAGGTCTCATTGGCGGTGGCGCGTGCAGTGGATCGCTCGATTCCCTACAATATGGTTGAGTTGGGCGGTGCTGGTGTACGTGTTCGTGAACGGGCGCCGTCAACTGGGACTGGTCAGCTCCAGACTGTATTATTTATTGTCTTTAAGGTTATTTTCTTTTTCGATCACTTTTACTAGATTTTAGTGTTACATTGTTCTCGCACAATTCAAACAGCAAAACTATGTAACTGGAGAATTGTATTGTGAACCTGATTGAAAACCTATGGAGTTTCTTGCTCGTTCTTCTTCATAGGAATCTACACCTTGGAATGAGCAAATAGCTTCACTTTTAATTTTTTGTTGACGTTCAAAAATGCCTTTCTGTTCTTATTGAAATAAATGATTTTGACTTAATTGACATTTATCGAAGAAACCTATATGACGTATAAAGCATTACGCTATGGACAAAGTGAGCCGAGCAGCGGCTGAAACCGCGCGAGCTTAAGTAGATAGCTTCTACAATAGATTTTTTTAAATTTTTCAACCGGCAAAGTGAATAAAGTAGGTAGGTTAATTTTTATTTTATTTTTAGCTTTTTTAGTGTATTTTTTGCTGACGTCAGTTTTATTTTTTTTTCAGGCAAAGACCACTCAATTCGTATATACGATATCAAAAAACCTAAGATTTATATAGTTGAAGAAAATCAGCCATTAAGCATATATTTTGACGATTTTTTAGTAACTCATGGATGGTAAGCAAAATGGTATTATTACATAACATAACATCATGCCTTTTTATCACCGAAGGGGTAAGCAGAAGTGCACTTACAGCACTGAAGTCCGTATGTAGTATGTAAGCAGGTTCTGTGTGGTGGAAATGAGAGCCCTGAGAAGTTTGTGTAATCAAGTGAAAAATAGTGTTATTAGAGAACTGTGTCGATGGAAACATGTATAGATAAAGGGAATGTTACGATTGGACATGTAGAAAGGATAGATGAAATCAGATTTACGAAAGGAGTATATGAATGTCACCGTCGGTTGAGGGCGCACTAGACGGGCAGAACATCGACCAGATTTGCGATATAAAAGAAGGTCTAAAAGCACCCCTAACTAATGAGCATGCATGAAAAGACAGATGGCTGTTGTAGAAACGAAAGAGGTATGTAAAAATAGAATAGCGTTCTGTAATATGTGCCTACCCGCATGGAGGATAGGCGAGAGGTTATGTATGTATGTGTGAACGGAGTATGGAGACGAAAATAAAGGTAAGTTCCCATAGCCAAAAGCCACGGTTACAAACCAATTATTTTATTTTTTCCAGGTGTTACAATTATTATGATCATGATCCTATTTTGGAAAATGCGCTTCCACCTTCCGTTAATAATTCATGTATATACGTAAGTAACTATTTTTATTAAAACATAACATAACACGTCTTTATCCCTAAAGGGGTAAGCAGAGGTGCACATTACGGCATTTAATGCCACTGTACAATGTAACACCCACTTTTCACTATTAATGTTATGAGTCCCATGTAATAAAAAGGTGAGTCTATTGCCTATATATCAGGCACAGTTCCATGCTCCGTGCTATTACTGAGAATTTTTTCCTGACCCGGGAATCGCAATTGCGACCATGAGGCAGCCCGCATTTATTCCGTCAGTATTTATAGTTAATATTATGATATAATCGTATTTGTTATGATACAACTTTAATTCTGATCTAATTTAAACTTTCCCGTAATAGTGACACTATATGAATAAATATAATACCTAAAATAACTATATGAAATAGAGATGCTTTTAAAAAATTATCATCAATAATTTATTTGTAAACTAGCGACCCGCCCCGGCCCCGCACGGGTGTGATATGCGTGTATTACACATGTAAACCTTCCTTAAGAATCAATCTATCCATAAAAAAAAAATGCATCAAAATCCGTTGCGTAGTTTTAAAGATCTTAGTATACATAGGGACAGACAGACGGCGGTTAGCGACTTTGTTTTATACTATGTAGTGATCATTTCCTATTTCGTTAAATCTCTGAATTGTGTATCTTAGGCTGTAGAGTTAAGGTTGAATTTCTTATTTTAATAATCTGATTTAAACTTCGATGCAATTCAACTCTGTATTAGTATGAATTTACCTTTAGCCTCCATTTGCACGATAATTTTATAACGCACGTTAAAAAAATTGGTTGCCTGTAAAGTCGGTATACAGGCGAAAGTTTTACGTGACAACGACTTTGAGTGGTAAAATAATTTTAATGTAAATATTCATTCGTATAGTAGGAAGAAGGATGAAATAAAAGTAACAATTTAAAACATTTATTTATACAAAGAAGCAAGACATGAGCCGGTGTGTATGCCTATCTCTCACTCTCTCTCTCTCTCTCGTTCTGTCTCTCTCGCTCTTAGGCGGGCTAACTGTGCTCGAGTGGAAGGGACGCGTGCCTCTCACTTTTTATGTCTGTCTCTCTCGCTCTTAGGCGGGCTAACCATGCCCGAGTGGAAGGGACGCGTGCCTCTCACTCGCTCTCATTGTGAGCGCATAACGTAGCGGAGCGTAACGCAGTTTCTTGAAGTGTCACCCGGCAAACCAATTTATAAGACGTTGTCACGTCAAAAGGCGTTTAAATAGAACGTATGCATCTGCTAGTACATATAATAGGGTATTTTCATAAATTTTATTTTAATGTCCGTCTGGTACATTAATTTAAAACTTTAGACACGTATTTTTTCTTTTCTCACAAAATTAAATACTTTCGATGATATAAATATTAATTTGAAATATCGCGTGACGTCACAGAGTGCCTCATTTAGTAACACGTTATGACGTAACGACCTGTCACTCCTAAACTTAGCGCCATTTTATCTAAGTATTGCAACTTGATACGACAAAATAAAAAAATACGTGTCTTATATGTTTTCATTATCTAAGTGACGGACTAATTAGATTTGTAATTTGGATACCCTGGAAACTACCCAATTATATTCATACATACAGTGCTTTTAAAACGCGACGTGCTTTCGAGCTATTGTTGTAATTTTAACCCTAAGCGTTGGGATGGAAAAACTAAATTGCTTTGCGACTTTAAAAAAGGTCAATGACAATGACCTCTCCCCGGTCGTGTCGGTCTGCCGTCCCATCATTCAGACAGTGAGGGAACAGAGAGTGCACCTGTGTTTATGCACACACTTCTGCACAATAATATCTACTGCCTTTTACTATTGTACGAAAACTATTGTGGCCAAAATAGGGTATGTAAGCCTATATATAGTCGCGGAGAACCTATCGAGTTACCGGGGCTACGGCTCGACGTGCAGGAGAAGGAACGGGGTGGTTTTTAGTCAGCAAGAGTCTGACACTCCTTCCTGCCTCACCCAGGCGGGAGCAGATATTCGATGATTTTCCCCCCTTAAAAAAAAGCACCAAAGCTCCTAAATAAAAAAAAAAAAACAAAATAAAAAGTAGAAGCTTAATCGCCGCAGTTGAAACCGACATGGACATATATATATAATATATCGATATATCTATATCTCTATATCGAATGTGGCTAGTCTAGTTTAACTTGCTACAATAGTCCAAATCGATTAGAAGGCTTTACCATTCACGGGACCACAGAGTCCCGGTCATTTGGGAGGCGTACGAGGGCCCGACCAACTGCGCAGAGGCCCTTTAGACAACTTTAATCTAAATTAACTAAAATCGCTGGTTACTCATGTGAATATACTGAGAAAAGCTCTATTAGTTCTCTCGAGACGTCGCCGCGACCGCGCACGCTGCTCATGATGAGTAGATTTCATTTGTGTCAGCTTGGAGTTGTCATGCTCACTCAAATGTCTCATTGGCGGTGGCGCGTGTATCGCTCGATTCCCTACAATATGGTTGAGTTGGGCGGTGCTGGTGTACGTGTCATGTTCGTGAACGGGCGCCGTCAACTGGGACTGGTCAGCTCCAGACTGTATTACTGTCCTTAAGGTTATTTTCTTTTTTGATCACTTCGACTGGATTTTAGTGTTACATTGTTCTCGCACAATCCAAACAGCAAAACTATATAACTATAGAATTGTATTGTGAACCTGATTGAAAAAGAGTAACCTATGGAGTTTCTTGCTCGTTCTCCTCCATAGGAATCTACGCCTTGGAATGAGCAAATAGATTCACTTTAAATTTTTGTTTATGTTGACGATTTTGACTTTGACTTTGATGAGGAAGAACCCCTCTGTGGTTCGAAACTAGTAACTTGCGATTTTAGTAATTTAGTATGTCTCACGATAGTTATTATAAAAACTTTAATCCAAATGCTTATTTTTTTACAAACACAAGGCTTATTATTATAAAGACAATTATTTTCTTTCAGTTTAAAAATGTGACGAGAAATATGAGCACGTTGTGGAAATGTACTGTGACCGTGGACAACTCATCTATGGGAAAAATCCCCCAAAAACTAAACCGAAGATGTATTATGTCTATTTCAATTTACATGTGAGGGCTGCCAGTGAGTAGTATGATTTATTTTTGTTACAATACTGTCTATAGGAATGTCCTATCGGCCTGGAGGTATAAGAAGCCCGCTTCTCATACATGAGGTTGCAGGTTCGAAACCTACCAACGGCAAGTAACAATTTGACTTTTTCCGAGTTATATGCTTTTTCTAAGATTATTTAGACACCACTGAGAAGGAAAACATCGTAAGGAAACCTGGGCTTATAATTTTTAATTATAAGTTTGTAATAACCAACATGTATTGAGCAAGCGTGGTGATTAACGCTCTAACCTTCTCCGCGTGAGAAGAGGCTTTGCTCAGCAGTGGGCATTTATAGGCTGTTGATGAATAGGAATAAAGCCTGTCTGGATATCATAGCCTAAGTCCACCTGCAGCACCAGAGGTTGATACCTCTCTCGAGGCGCTACGGACAACTTTACAGGCCCCGTTTCGAAGCAGGAGCAGAAACGGGGGTTTTAAGCGTCTGTCTCGTCTCACCCAAAGCAGGACTCATTTGTTGAATTTCCTCCCTCAAAAAAGTGTATCTCAAGAGCATTGCAGACTGTTTAATTGACTTAAATCCAGGTTTCCTCATGATGTGAAGGTGAAGGAAGCTTCACCGTATTATAGTGAAATATGAATTGAAGTAAATGAATGACTTTTAAATTTATTTATGGGATAAGCCAGTAAACTAGCATATGGATCACCTGATGGTAACCAATCAACGCTGCGCGTCGCCCAACAACAACTGAAACACCAGAGGCGTTACAAGTGCGTTACCGTTTCTTGCTCGTTCTTCTCCATTCGACTCTTTGGAACGAGCTCCTAGCTGACAACTCAATTTGACCTTTAAAGAGTGTCTAATTAACTCGTTGAGTACCGTCATTATAGACACAATTAAAGAACAATAGGTTGCGGTCACCGGTGTCCTCACGGTGTTTGACAGTTTAAGGAGTAATTAAAATAAATGCTTTCATTTTTACTTAACCTTTAACTACTGACGTGAGTGTCTTATGAGAATTTGCCAAAACACCTTTAAATAATTGTATTGTAGCTAATTCTAACATTAATTTTTTTAAGTTATGCGAAATATAGTTTATAATTTGACCCAAAGAAATGCTGATTTCATTCGAAAATGATGTTTTTTTCGTACGTCCTTAATAGAATAATAATGAACAGATCATAATACAAGTAAATATTGTGTAAATCACTAATTAAAACTAATCCATTTCGATTGTTTATTAAGATGTCTGACATGTCACGTCACCATTTATGATATGAATAGCTACTTCCGCGCGGTTTCACCTCTTTGCTCGGCACCTATTAATCGTAGCGTGATATTTTATAGCCATAGCCTTCCTCAATAAATGGGCTATCCAACACAGAAATATTTTTTCTAATCAGGCCAGTAGTTTTGGAGATTAGCGCGTTCAAACAAACAAACAAAAAACAAACTCTTCAGCTTTATAATATTAGTATAGATTAGTATAGATTAAACAACGTCAGGACTTAAAGGTTAAGGAGATTGCGGAGGCGGTTATGGGCCTTGTGTTACCCCCATTCACATGTTGAAAACGTTTTGGTGAGACCGTGGTATCACTCCAGTCGATAATACAATTATTTTGTCGTCTTTCAGAAAGAGTTCGAATGATAATAAACAAACAACATATAAATTTCACATACGATAATAAATCAAGTCGTTACGATGGCTACGCAAACTACATATTTGTTGAAAAGGAATCTATTTATGCGACTTGTTTGAATGCTGAGGAACGGGGCAAAGTCCAATTAATTTATTCGAAGACAGGTAAAATATTATAGTCATTATTGTATTAGTAGCAGCGCGACAGTCGCGCGAAATGCTGCTCATGAATATGAGCCTCTAGCATGGCTTGAAACTAGTCGAGTTCCTCGTCAAATAATTACGTGAGTAAGCCGAAAACAAAATAACTTATTACATACATAACATCACGCCTTTTATTACCGAAGGGGTAGGCAGAGGAGCACATTACGGCACTTAATGCCACTGTACAATGTAACACCCACTTTTCACTATTTATGTTATGAGTCCCATGTGATAGGGGGTGAGCCTATTGCCATATACCGGGCACAGTTCCAGACTCCGTGCTACTACTGAGATTTTTAAAAACTTATTCATTTGCTGAGTGATCGCAAGTGCAACAATCGGGCAAGGGGCGTTGGGTTCGATTCTCGGGTCATCAAAGTATTAATAGGTTTTTAAAAATTTCTCAGTAGTAGCACGAAGTCTGGAATTGTGCCCGGTATATGGCAAAAGGCTCAACCTCTATTACATGGGACTCATAACATAAATAGTGAAAAGTGGGTGTTACATTGTACAGTGGCATTAATACCGTAATGTACATCTCTACCTATCCCTTCGGGGATAAAAAGCGTGATTTTTTGTTTGTAACAACTGTAGATTAACTATATAATCGAAATCGATAGGGAGCCTATATTGGGATTGACCGTAAAACAACCAGATCTTAGTCTCTTTTTTAGGTGTGAAATCGAAGGCTGTACTTGATTCTACATCACTCACGATAAATTTACATATGGGCCTAAACAACTCGTACCTGGACTGCGAGTATATATCAGTAGAACCGAACGACAAATACAACTACAGGGTATATTTTATAACTGAATATGTTCCGTCTAACCTCACCCAGCTTTATACAAATGGTAGTAAGTAAACATTTTACAAACTTTAATTTTAATGTAAGTTCATATGTATTGAATGTATATGTACACACGGCTACACATAGAGCTTTACATAACCAGTATAAACTGAACGTTAAATGTGCGGAAAGATGATGCGACGCGAGACCACGATAAACTGGTTTTGTATAGATTGATGTGTGGCCGTGTGTACTTATTATCAGTTGCAAGATTTCACTTTACGCTCAGTGTGTGTCATAAGAGTGACGTCACAGATGACGATGACAGCTAACCGGTCCTTATGTACACGAATTTTTCATGGAAAAACTAGATGGCGCTACTTTTAAGTTCCCATGGAAAAACTAGATGGCGCTACTAGAAGTGGCGCCAGCTAATTCTAGTATCGAAGACTTTCGGATAAATATTGCTTACATCTCAAACAATATCATATATTGTGGACAAGTGTCAGTGAACTAAATAAACAAGTAAAAATTAACATATTACGTTCGGCGTCAGTGTGTCTGTGCTAATTCTATCATATAAAATAAAAGCCTGTTAAATAAAGTAAAATAAACTTAATTTAGTCATGAGGCATAAATTCATTATTATGTTTTAGGCTTACTCACGTAATTATTTGACAAGGAACTCGATAATAGCAGCGCTATAGTCGCCGCGTCGTGTGTCGCTGAATGCTCCTCATGAATATGAGCCTCTAGCATGGCTTGAAACTAGTTGAGTTCCTCGTCAAATAATTACGTGAGTAAGCCTCGAAAAATTAATAATTAAGTTTCCTACATGGTTCACATCGCATTTGTCATACCTTTATGTTGCAGGTGTAGGTGTTTTATGGTGTCCACTTATTATTAGGCGTGCCATAAGCTTATTTCCTATTAACTCGTCGAGTACCGGTTTTATAGACACAATTAAAGAACAATAGGTCGCGGTCACCGGTGACCGCTCGGTGTTTGACAGATTAATAGATGTATAAAATAAATAGGTATAAGTAATACGTTTTGTTTTTTTCAGGTTCTTTTAATATATTCTTAATATTGGGATGTATTTCTGGTCTTTTATTAATAATCACTATTGTGGGCATAGTTTACTGGCGTAAAAGACAGCGACCAACGAAAGACACCGAGGTATGTTATATTTTTTTCACGTCTCGCCTTTTGCCATCGAAAGCGTAGTCAGAGATATAATAGGGATATGAAAATTAAAAATCTAATTAGTCCGTCCGTTAGGTAATGAAAAAATATTAGACACATATTTTTTTATTCTGATGTATAACAAAATGATACTTAGATATAACGAATCAAAGTTTAGGAGTGGGGGCTAAAACGTCATTTCTACGTATAAAATGTACATAGAAGTGACGTCACGCGACATTTCAAATCGTCGAAAGTATTCGTTTTTGTAAAACAATAAAACTACATGTGTAATATTTTAAAGTCATCTACCAGACGGACATTAAAATAAAAATTAGTCATCTACCCTATTACTTATACACTACTAGTTAGCTTCTGCCAGTGGCTGCACTTTGACTGCCACGTTGGCCGAGTGGTCGCTAGCGCATCTGCCGGGCAAGGGGTCTCAGGTTCGATTTCCGGATCGGGCAAGTGATCACTGGGTTTAAAAAAAAAATCTCAGTAGTAGCACGGAGTCTAGAAATGTGCCTGGTATATCTCGTCTTTATCCATAGGCAAAGGTGCACGTTACGGCACTTAATGCCACCGTACAATGTAACACCCACTTTTCACTATTTATGTTATGAGTCCCATTTAATAGGGGCGTGAGCGTATTGCCATATACCGGGCACAATTGCTAGACTTAGTCCTTTTATACTGAGATTTTTTTAAAACCCTGCAATACTTTGCCCGACCCGGGAATCGAACCTGAGACCCCTTGCCCGGCAGATGCGCTAGCGACAACTCGGCCAACGAGGCAGTCAATTTATTTAAATAAACATTAAATTAATAACAAACGATATCTTACATTCATGGCGGTCCATAAAATGAACGTGAAGTGGTGGGTGGACGCGAATAGGCAAACTTACCCTATGTATATTTTTGTTTACAGACACCTTACAACGATCTTCAAAATGAGAATGAAATGACTCCAATACCCGAATCGATGTACGACTCGTGTTTCAGTGAAAATTTCTCCGATATACAATCAAATAATGACGTTCTGAAAAGTTCAGACAATTCTGAACCTTATTATCATAGCTATGAGAAAGTAAATTATTCACAATGCAAACCAAAATTAGATGAACCTCAACAGCGTGCGAGCAAAATTTATAATGAACCTTATGATCATTTTAGAAAACTTCGCAGTAAGAAATAGTGTCGTACCTAAATTAAGTAATAAATTTCCTTTGTAAAACCGACTTTAACCTTATTTTTAATATACTAAAACCTGCTCCTAAGTGTAACAAACACCCTGGAGGTGATAAAAAAAGGTTGTCCACCTTTTTTATGGAATAAGCCGGCAAATGAGCCGGCGGATCACCTGATGGTAAGCATTCGGCGTTGCCTATTTACACCTGAAACACCAGAGGCATTACAAGAACATACGTAACCGGCCTTTTGGGATTTTGCAGTGGGGGTTTCAGGTATTGGGAAGGAAGGAGGGAGTAATTAGGCTTCGCCTCCGGTAACCTCACTCATGCGACTAAAAACACAACACAACGTAAGCGTTTTTATGTCGGTATTCTGTAAAGACGTGGTATTACTGCGGTCAAACCTAATGGGTTGCTGGGGCTCCAGCTTAAAGCAGGAGTAGGAACGGGGTGGTCTTAGTTAATAAGAGTCTTTACACTCTCTCGCCTTACCCTGGCGGGGGCGGGATAAGCATTGGATCATATTTTCCCCTCAAAAAAGTGTAACACTTGCACTTTGCTCTTCTCTGTACCTTATGCACTTTTCTGAAATCCTCATGAAATTGGATCAGCTCAACGCCAGATAATCGCCGACAAACTGTCGATACGACCTTCAAACCTTCAAGAAAAGAGCGTATTCCTTTAAAAGGGCCGGCAACGCACCGGTGACTCTTCTGGTGTTGCGGGTGTCCGTGGGCGGCGCTGATCGCTTACCATCAGGTGATCCGTCTGCTCGTTTGCCTCCTATTCCATAAAAAAAATACCATGGTAATAATATCATGCAGTACTCCAACTTCATACAAACGGACGAAACGCGAGCTGTACCTATGCGGCTCGGCTGTACCGCAGTGACGAAAGGACGGTGTGTTGTTTATTTAAAAATAACCGCATGATTTTTCTCTAAAAATCAGTTCGAATACATTTAATATGACGAGTAGGAAATATTGTACTGTTTTTGGTTGTATTTTTTTGCAAATATTTTTCGCTCTCAAATTTATAAGACCGATTTGGTTTACAAACAAAAATATGTTTTTATAAAATTTAATCTACCAACCAAAAACAAAGCATTTTTATTTTTTATTGAACACTTCCTATTCAATGTTCAAAGTATTTTATTTGTTTATATAAAAAAGGATATTTACAATCACAAAACGGAATAGAAACGGAAAGTAGGCAAAAGTAGGTAATTAAATCAATTATTACATTACTAGCTTTTAGCCGCGGCTTCGCTCGCGTCACAAAAGGATAAAAAGTAGCCTATGTGACATAAACCAATTCACACAGCGCCATCTATACCAATACTTTTGTTTTCCCTCGGGAATATCAATTTTTCCGGGATAAAAAGTACCCTATTATTTAATCCGGACTTCTAACTTTACTTCTGCAAAATTGCAAAGCAATCGGTTAAGTAGTTACGGCGTGAAAGCGGAACAAACAAACAAACAAACAAACAAACAAACTCACTGTCCGATTTATAATATTATAGTAAGGATAAGCATGCTCCCGGGATCGGGAAAATAATAATAATTGTCTAATAATAATACAATTTTACAATTTTATATTAATAATTTAATAATATCAAAAATAATCACAAGTATCCTCAAGTAATATAGTGTTCAATTGTTTCAGGTGCCTAATTACGTTAGGTACCCTTGTCTTGGTTTTAATCCTACACATATCGACTCTATTGAATTTCAAATTTAATTTCATTTAATTCCATATTTGATTTACTTAATTGATCGCAACCTATATGTTACGTTGCATGATATTGTTCAAATGTTATACATTTTTTGTTATGTAACATATTCTACCCGTTTTATGTTACATGCTGTGTTAGCCAGTAAGTAGTTGTTACACTCACCAAAGTATTATTTGTGATGATGTAATGAATGTATGAGTGTAAATAACTGTTCGTTAATCTAATAAATCAATAAAAAAAATTAAAAATATGGAGACGAGCAGCCCTAACGCACATTTACGTATGTGTCATTTCCTTTTCTGTATGTATACTTTATTGTTAGAAGCATAGACAAAAAGAAACGAAATGTCATCGCGTAGCGGGAAAATATAATCTGTGGTTCGAACAATGAAAAAGTCAAGATGGCGGGAACTCGGAAATTATTGAGACGGCGTATTTAGTGTTGAGGGAATTTTATTCTATTTGAAAGTCAATTTGCCTATTTATGTGTTGTTGTTGTTGTTTTTCTTTCCAATTAATAGTTATGGTTTAGCTAGTCCTGATTTTGTAATTTGATTTCAATGTTAACAATATAAGGTGCATTGTAATGGTGGTACTCTTTATTTTTCCTGCCTCCTGAGTTTCTATAATCCTATGTGGTTTGAAACCAATAAGTTTCTAATGTCAAGGAGTTGGTTGAGCTCTATGACAGTTTTTAAGTTTTTTAATTATATTAATAGTGTACAATAAAGTTATATTCTATTCTACGTACCGCGCGGCTATAGGTATTTAACTCTGTCATGCGGCTGTGTTACAATACTGTATTATAATATTACCGTGGTCATAGTAATACACCGACAAATAATATACAAGGTGTTGTTTTAAAGCCGCGTCATTTTCTAGGAGGTAACTCGGCTACCGATTCTGAGTCCGAATCAACAAAAAAATTGTAGGTAAATATTTTTCATTTTTCTGTGTAAATTACGGAAATCCGTAAGTGCGAACTACACGTCGCGTCGCCGTCTTGTAACTAGCTTTATAACGCGGCTTAATACACATACACTCAAACACGTAATGATATTATTCCTAATTCCATAAAACTCCAATAAGAAACATTGCTGTCGCTTATTCTGAAATATTGTTGAACATAAACGATTTATTATAGCCGTATTTTTAACTATTGGCCCGAAATTTTCTCTAACATGTAGGCTTTATGACTTCTGTGACATGCCCTCGAAAAATGACACGGTTTCAAAACTACACCTTGTATTATAGGATATTTTATGCACCACGGGCGAAGCTGCTGGCTGAAGCTAGTAACTTAATAAATATTTTAATGCGTTCCAATTACAATTAATATAATTTTATCCTGTCTACAAATAGGCAAACAAATATGGTGTTGTCTCTGAAATTGTGTCACAATAAGGCAAAATATAACATTAATATAACATTTTCTATAATTATTAATAGGGACTCAAATTCTTTCCATATATACATATACCAATATAACATAACATCGCGCCTTTTATCCCCGAAGGGGTAGGCAGAGGTGCATAATATGCCACTGTGCTATGTAACACCTACTTTTCACTATTTATGTTATGAATCCCATGTAATAGGGGGTGAGCCTATTGCCATATACCGGGCACAATTCCAGACTCCTAACACATACGTAACTCATAACATAAATATTGAAAAGTGGGTGTTACATTGTACAGTGGTATAATGTGCACCTCTGCCTACCCCTTCGGAGATAAAAGGCGTGATGTTATGATGATAAAAAAATCATATTTATACCAATAGTTTTTAATTATAATCCCCAAAAGGCCGGTAACGCACTTGTAACGCCTCTGGTGTTCCAGGTGTCCATGGGCGACGCCGATTGCTTACCATCAGGTGATCCGTCTGCCCGTTTACTGGCTTATGCCATAAAACACAAAAAAATGCTCCACCGATTGGTTTCCTCGCTTCTGTTCAGGAAATTTGGATCTGAAAAATTTACTTCGCGATCGTCCAAAGACTTTGGTTGACAATGATGAATTAAAGGTGATTTTAGAAGCTGATGATACACAATCTACGGCTGAATTAGCAGCAGCTTTTTACGTTAGTGTTGAAACAATATTGGTGCATTTGCGTCAAATTGGCAAGGTAAAAATAGCTTGACAAATAGGTGCCCCATGAACTCAAGGTCGCCAGGGCGAAGAACAACGCATGCGTTGATTCATGACGGTTTTCTTCGAGGCCGTGGTATCGCTCCAGTCGACCTGACCCTCTGAACTGAACAGGGTCAGTTCGACTCTCCTCTCCCACATGGATTTAAGAACTTCATTATAGGTACAGTAAATGGCTATAAGGATAAGTCAAATTATTCCTATTAAATGAATAATGCTTTGATAACACTAGTGTAACCATAAGAATAATTGGAAACAGGACAGTCTATTTTAAATAAATGTTTTTACAATAATGCTAAATACCTGAAACTAATTTTAAATGCCATTTATATAATATCCGAATTTCGCCTTATACGAACCGGGATTTTTTGTCACTAAATGACAAAATGAAAAATTCCCTTTAAATGAATCAATACATTCTAGACAATAAACGCTTTTAATCATAATATATACCTATGCTTTCATCGTCAGGAGACATGGGCACGTGTGAGTGATGATAACCAAACTCATAATACATTATTTACTAGTAGCCAGTCAGACTTCCACGTTGGCCGAGTAGTCGCAAGTGCGATTACCGGGCATGGGGTTTCGGGATCGATTCCCGAGTCGGGCAAAGTATTACTGAGTTTTTTTTTAATTCTAAGTAGTAGTACGGAGTCTGGAATTGTGCCCGGTATAAGACAATAGGCTCACCCCCTATTACATGGGACTCAAAACATAAATAGTGAAAAGTGGTTACATTGTATAGTGGCATAATGTACATACACCTCTGCCTACCCCTTCGGGAATAAAATATACGAGATACCATGGCCAAGCAGAAAATCGACGTTAAACATCGCTTGCGTTGTGTGAGTGAGGTTATAGGAGGTCCCAATTACCCCCCCTCTGGTGTTCCAGGTGTGCATGCGGGTGACACCGATTGCTTACCATCAGGTGATCCGTTTGCTCGTTTACCGGCTTATCACATAGAAAAAAATTAGAATTGTGTTTAATTTAGATTCTTAGATTTTATGACGCAGTTTGTTACAGGCGTGTTAGTTACAAAAATTAGTGTGAGCAGGAAACGGGACAGTAAATATTTTATAATATTTTGTCCTGCTGATATATTTGTAAATTATGGTACCTGTAGTTCTGTAATGTATATCATTCCGCCATTACTTGTTGACGTGTATTGCCAGTATGAGATGTAAAAATGAATAATTGTGTGAAAATATTGATTTATTTCATAATATCAATATTACAATGTGAAGCTATTGTAACTACAGGTATGTAAAATTATCTTTTTCATAAACTTAAATATTAGTTCGACCTGTTCATGTGAGAATGTATGTTCGCGATTATATCGCAATTCGTCAAGATTTGCATTGTTCTCACATATATGTACGTCCAGTGTTGGAATATGTATCAGAGACATTGTAGAACATAAATTATTTAATCTTGTGTTTTTCAGAGAATCCTGTTATAAAGCTAGAATATGGGAAGGATACAAACGATATATATTATGTTGAGCTAAATAAAAGTTTACAAATAATAATTAAACACGGTCAGGCTGGTTGGGTGAGGTATGTAATTTTTTTTAATTAACATCATCAAATCAAATCCCGCCCTGGTTGAATACGAATTTAAAACCAGACGAAACTAACTAGAGCTGATATCTGACGCACATAACATATAAAGAAGACGCATGACTTCTTTTGAGATTATTTTTAGACAACAATGACATACGGTGAAGGAAAACATTGTGAAAATATTTGAGTTTATAAATTCTAATTAAAGGATTAAAATCGCCCATCGGTCTTGACCAAGCGTTGTGGTACTTCTGTATGAGAAGAGTTAGAGACCTCTGACTAGTAGACTGCTGAGCAGAGGCTCAGCAGTCTACACTTATAGGCTGATGATGTATTGTGTGATATTTTGGGCGACGCAAGAGGGAATGCTCTTACTGAATCAAACTGGGCATCGTCCCCGTCTGTGGTGATCCGATAGGACTTTGAAGCGAATAAAACGCGAGATGACAAACGCTCGAGTCTCATTTTGGTCGGGCAGTACTAAAATACTTTTAAAATTTTCAGGTGTTATAGTTTTTATTCTGGAACGACATTTGGTATAGAAAATTTCCAAATTACAATGAGGACAGTGTCATTAACGTAAGTTTTACTTTTGTAAACGGTAAAGCCATAAGTAGGATTCTTATGTTGACTACTTTTGTCCAGTTTTGTCTCCACTTATAGTGACGTCGTTGTTAAATTCTTAAACTAAACACATTATATTCTATGGTCAAATCCGGCTTAACCAAATTGTGTCTGATAATATACTGTTTTAAGTTCGTGCGTGCTTTTTTAATTTCGTTCATCCGTGGAAATAAACGTTTTTATTATATTTTTTATGGGACAGGCCGGCAAACGAGCAGACGGATCACCTGATGGTAAGCAATCGACATCGCGCATGGACACTCGTAACACTGGAGGAGTTAGAAGCAAATTGCCCGTGCTTTAGGGATTGGGGATTTAGGGGATGCCTCCAGTAACCTACACAAGCGTTGTTTCACCCCAGTCTCCTTCGAGGTTGAGGTATTAACAGACGTAGTAACTAAGTCCATCCGCCGCTTAATACAATTAAATCCTACCATTGTTTGATTCTAGATTCCAAGTGTAACTCCTGAAATGAGCACCAGATGGAAATGCGATATTTACCAGAGATATCATGGACCAGTACAGGTTATGTACAACTCAGAACAGCACACAGTTGTTAAATTTCATTTTCGTCTCTATGTGAAAGGAGCTCGTAAGTACATTTTTCTTTCTTTCCTGTACGTCCCTTCCTTGTAGATAATAATAAAAAAATAAAATATAATCTATATTTAGAATCATGGAATCTTTTTGAATTACATTCGGTAAAACAATGATTTGGGACCTGGGTAACGTTTGATAGTTTTTATCACAGATGTCCCACGGGAACGGGAACTATGCGTCAATGCCCCAGGACTCTCTAACTCTTAACCACTGAACTTATTTTAGAGAGATTCGGTACAACAATAGTCGATACAATAGTTTTTATTACTCAAACCTTACGTGATCGGGCACTGTACTGGTAAGATCCCTGCGGGATTATTTATTTATTGAAACTACGATAAATCATTTCAAAATAGGTACATTTTACTTGGGCACTGAATTGATTCTGATTAATTCTGTCAGAAGTCATTAATCTACGCGGACTAAGTCGCGGGCAACAGCTAGTATATAATAAAATTGTTGGAAAGTGAAAACTGTACATTGAATATTGGCGAAGGGATTAAAACCGACCTACCTCTCATTTTTGCCCCCGTTAGCATTGCCGGAACATGTTATAGTGAAAATACCCTCTAGTGATAATAGATATCATTTAATTTGTGCGACCTACATACCTCCGGGCTCTGATGAGAAAATGTATTTGACTTTTCTTGATTCTCTGTCTGTTTTATGTGACAACCCTCATATTGATAATATTATTTTAACAGGTGACTTCAACTTGCCTTTGATTAATTGGGAAAAAAAGTCAACTTATATGAAGTATGCTTTTAACAATAAAAACACAGATATAAATTGCAATCTGATGAACTTCTGCTCTCAACAATGTCTAAATCAGTATAACCATGTATTTAACTCGGTGGGACGCATCCTGGATTTATTTTTTTGTAACACTTACACCGTTTTGTTTGCCCCGGATACTCCCCTCTTACCTGTAGACACTTTTCACCCTCCTCTCTATGTACACGTTTCTATCTCCTGCCCCTCACACAACTCCAAGCGCAATGCTAATGGGAGACTCAATTATCACAAAGCTAACTACAAAAATATAAATGCGGAGTTAAGTAATGTTGATTGGAACTATTTACTCGATAATTTGGCACCTAATGATTGTGTATCTGCATTCTATGAAAAACTTTATGAAGTAATAAAAACGCACACGCCAGTAGTTAGACCTAAAAATGTGAATTACCCGATATGGTTCTCTGGGTCTCTTATAGCTATATTTAAATGTAAAACTCGTGCTTGGTGTAGATGGAAGAGGTACGGGAATCTGCGCGATTATGAGATGTTTTCCATCAACAGAACTAAATTTAAAAAAGTAGCTCATCAATGCTATATTAACTATATAAACTCTGTTGAGGACAATGTTGCTACTAACGTTAAAGCTTTTTGGACTTATGTTGCTAGCCGTAAAAATATTAATAAAATCCCAACATCGGTTCATTACAATCATGCATCATCTAATGATCCTATCACTACCTGTAACTTGTTTGCTAAATTCTTTCACTCGGTGTATGAGCCCTCTTCCTTTGACTGCGACTCATGGATGCCGCCCAATGATGAGGCCGAAAATGATATCAACCTGTGTAAACTGCAACTTCCCGTAGATGCTATACGTAAAGAATTGAAATCCCTTGACCCATCTAAAGGTCCGGGCCCAGATGGAATCCCATCAGTCTTTTTAAAAAACACAAGTGATACAATTTGCTATCCCTTATTTATCATATTTAATAAATGTTTATCGTATGGCGTCTTTCCTGATACTTGGAAACATGCAAATATTGTTCCAGTTCATAAGAGTGGATCCAAACATGACGTTACGACTTATCGGCCCATATCTATACTGTCTGCATTCTCTAAACTCTTTGAGAGACTAGTACATAACGTGGTTTATCCGACCATACATAATGCCCTCATTGGTGAGCAGCATGGATTCGTTAGGGGTAGATCTTGTATTAGCAATCTCCTAATTTTCACGTCTTATCTATTTAAAGGTATTGATTCTAGACAACAAATTGATGCAGTCTACACAGATTTCCAAAAGGCGTTTGACAAAATTGATCATAAATTGCTACTTAATAAAATCGCTTACAATGGGATTAGGGGGGATCTTTTGCGATGGTTTGTGTCTTATATAACTAATAGAACGCAAAAAGTTGTGATAAATGGCTTCGAGTCCAGCTGTATTTCGGTCACGTCGGGTGTCCCTCAAGGTTCCATTCTGGGTCCTTTACTCTTCATTTTATTCATTAATGATATAAAAATCTGTTTTCAACATTCTAAGTTTCTACTTTATGCAGATGATTTAAAGGTATATAAAGTCATAAATAACAGGCAGGACTGTATTAATTTCCAGCATGACCTAAATCGTTTTTCAAATTATTGCTTCACCAATAAGCTTTTTCTCAGTCTTCCTAAGTGTCACGTTATAACATTTACCAAAAAGAAAAATAAAACTGAATTTAATTACTCCCTTGCTAATACTTTCCTGGTTAAAGTTAATTGTCTTCGTGATCTTGGGGTCCGGTTGGATTCGAAGCTACATTTAAATGTTCATATAGATGGAATAGTTAGTAAAGCATACCAAATGTATGGTTTCGTTATGAGGGCCTCTAGGGAGTTTCGTAGACCTTCCACCTTTTTGTATTTATACAAATCTATAATTAGACCTCAATTGGAGTTCGCAGTACCTATATGGAACCCGCTGTACAAGAAATATAATGATACTTTGGAGATGGTACAACGCAAATACATTCGTGCAGTTGGTTATAGATGTGATCGCAGAAGATCCTCATACTATCTATTACTTAAAAAGTATGATCTTCTAACATTACAGTCGCGACGAACGTTCCTGGACATTATGACTCTGTTTAGTGTGTGTCGCAATGGGTTCGATTGTCCTGACTTAATTAATAGTATATACTACCTGGTTCCTCGCACAGCTTATATACGGGAGGTGCGCGATCGGCGTTTGTTTGCCAATAACTATTGCAGAACCAATGCTGGCTCACGTTCGCCTCTTCATCGCATGGTTGAGGCTTACAGCGGTGAGTTTAACGGAATTGACATCCTATTTTTGAGTAAAAACGTTTTTAAGAGGCAAATTCGGACATCTCTTATGGATCGACAGTCTGTCTGTGACGCTGTGTGTGTGCGAAATTGTAAGAATTGTAAAAATTGTTAAAATTTGTTGGTGACCATTATAATTATTCATGTAAGTGGTGCATCGTAAATCTATGAAGGCTATTGTCTTTGTTTCACATTAGTTTATTCTATTTGAAAATGTAACTATATTTGTGTCACTCTAGAAATAGTAATCTGTGGAGAACGTAGTGGGTAACATATTTGCCAAGTATAATGTGTAAGCTGAATTATGTATATTTTGTAATATGTTACTGTTTGTTTTTCCTTAAATAAATAAATAAATAAATAAATAAATAAATAAATAAATATTGTTTTAAAAAAAAGCTTCGGGCGTGACCTACAATCGATACTGAAGCCTAAATTTTGGTTTTTATAATTATTATCTGTTTGTCTGTATGTATGTCCGGGCTAAACTCAAAAAATAGTGCATCAATTTACTTCAAATTTTGTATGAGTCTTACTAACAGGTCGGTTCAACACATAGGCTATATTTTATTATGCTCTCCCCTACCGGAGGAGCTGTAAATTACTATTATTCTATGCGGACGAAGTCGCGGACTGACTAACGTACTGGGCCACATCTGTGATGGTCTAATGGCTCTTTGAGGCGTTCGCAGATCGCAACGTGCCTTGAGATTGGGTCTGGTTTGGTCACGGGTTTGGTCAGGCGGCGAGCTACGTGGCCGAAATCCTCGTACGATCCCCGATGCCCGTAACGCGGCGGCTGGGGCGAGAGGAGGACTGTTCCTTCACACCCTCCATCTCCTCCTTAGCTAGCATGACTGCTTCGAAAAAGACGATACGGCATCCCAGTTCTCCTCACTCCGCATCATGGCCTGAACCACCAAAACCGGACGCGAGAGGTCACTGATAACATCTCTGAGAATATGGCGGTGCTCAGCCCATAGAGGGCACACCGCCACCGTATCCTCCACCGTGTCCTCCCGGAGTTCTAACCTAACTTAAGATGTTGGTAGCGACTCAGATTTGATAAAAATCCCTTCCCATTTAATCAAACGGCTACCTAGAGTATTCAGCCATTAGTTGAATGGCTAATTACGTCAGTTGACTATGACATATCAAACCAGTTCATTAACTGCATCATTTATTTCCAGGATCGGTAAATGTATCAATAAACGGAGAATTCCTGAATTTCACTAAAATGGGTCTGAATGTGAAACACGATGGCGAGGCGTTCTATAACTTCACTGATCAACAAAATATTGAACTCGTATGCGCCGGTGTTGACAAACAATCTGCAGTTTCGCTGGAGTATTTTAATCAAAACGGTAAAATAAATAATGTTTGCTAGATTCCATATTTTCAAAGAATCAAATTAGTTAAAATTGTAGTGAACCGCTGCATGCAAATCGCTTATAACCGCCATTTTCGTGGACACAGTTTTAATGGTGTCTGAGCACGAAGCAAGCATTCATCTTGTAATCGACGAGACCGTGCGCATGGAATGCCGTTTATATGAACAATAAGCCATCGAGTGCCTTCACACTAGTCTAGTGTACATATATTGGGCTCGCTGCCATTGCAGCGGTAAGTCCCCTCTTTGAGGAGTGGCTTGAGAGACGCTACGGCGTCCTCACCTACCGCCTGTCACAGGTCCTCACCGGACATGGAAGTTTCGGGAGGTACCTGTGTCTGATGGGGCGGGAGGAAACGCCCGGGTGTCATCACTGCGAGGACCGCCCTGAGGACACGGTGGAACACACCGTAGCGGAATGCCCTGCGTGGGCTGAGCACCGCCGTGCCCTCAGGGAAGTGATCGGCGATGGCGACCTCTCGCGTCCGGGCCTAGTGCAGGCCATGATGCGGAGCGAGGGGGACTGGGATGCCGTCTCCTCCTTTTGCGAAGCAGTCATGCTAGCTAAGGAGGAGGCGGGACGCGTGAGGCAGCGAAGCGCTGCCTCCTCGCAACCCAGCCATCGCGAAGGACACACCGGGCGTCGGGGATCGCGGGACGATCTCCGGCCACCGTAAGCGCGGGCCTGCGGACGGCGAGCATGGGTGGCTCCCCGTCTGACCAGAAACAGACCCGAGCGTACGGCGCGTAGCGTTCCGCGCGCGCCTCAAAGAGCCATCAGACCACCACAGATGGGGCCCAATAGGGCCGATGCCGATTCGGGGTCGCGGAGAACCTAACGGGTAACCGGGGCTCCGGCTCGACGTGCAGGAGAAGGAACGGGGTGGTTTTTAGTCAGTAAGAGTCTGACACTCCCTTCCGCCTCACCCAGGCGGGAGCAGTCATTCGATGATTTTCCCCCCTTAAAAAAAAAAAAAAAAAAGTGTACATATATAATTACACTTATAACAACAATGAAAATTGGGCTAACTTTAATAATGCTCTTGGTTTCAGGGGAAAAGATCTTCGAAATACAACAAGAACGTGATACCAGCGTATTGCTCCGAACTAGACTAACTTCGAAACAAGAAAAGTTTCATATAGATTGCATTGCTAACACTACTAGTCCACGTCGAGAATACCGATACAGAATTTATTTTTATAAAAAAGAATTGGAACACAACACAGGTATCATACATTGTCTGTCCCTATCTCTGTTTAAATCTTTAAAACTACGCATCATAATTGATGCGGTTTTTTGAATAGATAGAATGATTCAAGAAGAATATTTATGTGTATATTTAAATGTAAAGCCGCGGGGGAAAACTAGCATTGTATAATCTATTTACAAGGTATCGTCATGAGTTAGTGTTGACATGTAAACAGCAGCTCATGTAGTGTAGATGTCCAGTCAACAAGGATGTAGCGAGGTTGACTGTCCAGGCGACACACGTACTTAGGTATCGTCATGAGCTAATGTTCATATGTAAACAGCAGCTCATGTAGTGTAGATGTCCAGTCAACAAGGATGTAGCGAGGTTGACTGTCCAGGCGACACACGTACTTAGGTATCGTCATGAGCTAATGTTCATATGTAAACAGCAGCTCATGTAGTGTAGATGTCCAGTCAACAAGGATGTAATGAGGTTGACTGTCCAGGCGATACACGTACTTAGGTATCGTCATGAGCTAATGTTCACATGTAAACAGCAGCTCATGTAGTGTAGATGTCCAGTCAACAAGGATGTAGCGAGGTTGACTGTCCAGGCGACACACGTACTTAGGTATCGTCATGAGCTAATGTTTACATGTAAACAGCAGGTTATGTAGTGTAGATGTCCAATCAACAAGGATATAGCGAGGTTGACTGTCCAGGCGACACACGTACTTAGGTATCGTCATGAGCTAATGTTCACATGTAAACAGCAGGTCATGTATGTAGATGTCCAGTCAACAAGGATGTAGCGAGGTTGACTGTCCAGGCGACACACGTACTTAGGTATCGTCATGAGCTAATGTTCACATGTAAACAGCAGGTCATGTAGTGTAGATGTCCAATCAACAAGGATGTAGCGAGGTTGACTGTCCAGGCGACACACGTACTTAGGTATCGTCATGAGCTAATGTTCACATGTAAACAGCAGGTCATGTAGTGTAGATGTCCAGTCAACAAGGATGTAGCGAGGTTGACTGTCCAGGCGACACACGTACTAAGGTATCGTCATGAGCTAATGTTCACATGTAAGCAGCAGGTCATGTAGTGTAGATGTCCAATCAACAAGGATGTAGCGAGGTTGACTGTCCAGGCGACACACGTACTTAGGTATCGTCATGAGCTAATGTTCACATGTAAACAGCAGGTCATGTAGTGTAGATGTCCAATCAACAAGGATGTAGCGAGGTTGACTGTCCAGGCGACACACGTACTTAGGTATCGTCATGAGCTAATGTTCACATGTAAACAGCAGGTCATGTAGTGTAGATGTCCAATCAACAAGGATGTAGCGAGGTTGACTGTCCAGGCGACACACGTACTTAGGTATCGTCATGAGCTAATGTTCACATGTAAACAGCAGGTCATGTAGTGTAGATGTCCAGTCAACAAGGATGTAGCGAGGTTGACTGTCCAGGCGACACACGTACTAAGGTATCGTCATGAGCTAATGTTCACATGTAAACAGCAGGTCATGTAGTGTAGATGTCCAGTCAACAAGGATGTAGCGAGGTTGACTGTCCAGGCGACACACGTACTAAGGTATCGTCATGAGCTAATGTTCACATGTAAACAGCAGCTCATGTAGTGTAGATGTCCAGTCAACAAGGATGTAGCGAGGTTGACTGTCCAGGCGACACACGTACTAAGGTATCGTCATGAGCTAATGTTCACATGTAAACAGCAGCTCATGTAGTGTAGATGTCCAGTCAACAAGGATGTAGCGAGGTTGACTGTCCAGGCGACACACGTACTAAGGTATCGTCATGAGCTAATGTTCACATGTAAACAGCAGGTCATGTAGTGTAGATGTCCAGTCAACAAGGATGTAGCGAGGTTGACTGTCCAGACGACACACGTACTAAGGTATCGTCATGAGCTAATGTTCACATGTAAACAGCAGGTCATGTAGTGTAGATGTCCAGTCAACAAGGATGTAGCGAGGTTGACTGTCCAGGCGACACACGTACTAAGGTATCGTCATGAGCTAATGTTCACATGTAAACAGCAGGTCATGTAGTGTAGATGTCCAGTCAACAAGGATGTAGCGAGGTTGACTGTCCAGGCGACACACGTACTAAGGTATCGTCATGAGCTAATGTTCACGTGTAAACAGCAGCTCATGTAGTGTAGATGTCCAGTCAACAAGGATGTAGCGAGGTTGACTGTCCAGGCGACACACATACTTAGGTATCGTCATGAGCTAATGTTTACATGTAAACAGCAGCTTATGTAGTGTAGATGTCCAGTCAACAAGGATGTAGCGAGGTTGACTGTCCAGGCGACACACGTACTTAGGTATCGTCATGAGCTAATGTTCACGTGTAAACAGCAGCTCATGTAGTGTAGATGTCCAGTCAACAAGGATGTAGCGAGGTTGACTGTCCAGACGACACACGTACTTAGGTATCGTCATGAGCTAATGTTCACATGTAAACAGCAGCTTATGTAGTGTAGATGTCCAATCAACAAGGATGTAGCGAGGTTGACTGTCCAGCGACACACGTACTTAGGTATCGTCATGAGCTAATGTTCACATGTAAACAGCAGCTTATGTAGTGTAGATGTCCAATCAACAAGGATGTAGCGAGGTTGACTGTCCAGGCGACACACGTACTTAGGTATCGTCATGAGCTAATGTTCACATGTAAACAGCAGCTTATGTAGTGTAGATGTCCAATCAACAAGGATGTAGCGAGGTTGACTGTCCAGGCGACACACGTACTTAGGTATCGTCATGAGCTAATGTTCACATGTAAACAGCAGCTTATGTAGTGTAGATGTCCAATCAACAAGGATGTAGCGAGGTTGACTGTCCAGGCGACACACGTACTTAGGTATCGTCATGAGCTAATGTTCACATGTAAACAGCAGGTCATGTAGTGTAGATGTCCAGTCAACAAGGATGTAGCGAGGTTGACTGTCCAGGCGACACACGTACTTAGGTATCGTCATGAGCTAATGTTCACATGTAAACAGCAGCTTATGTAGTGTAGATGTCCAATCAACAAGGATGTAGCGAGGTTGACTGTCCAGGCGACACACGTACTTAGGTATCGTCATGAGCTAATGTTCACATGTAAACAGCAGCTCATGTAGTGTAGATGTCCAGTCAACAAGGATGTAGCGAGGTTGACTCTCCAGGCGACACACGTACTTAGGTATCGTCATGAGCTAATGTTCACATGTAAACAGCAGCTCATGTAGTGTAGATGTCCAGTCAACAAGGATGTAGCGAGGTTGACTGTCCAGGCGACACACGTACTTAGGTATCGTCATGAGCTAATGTTCACATGTAAACAGCAGGTCATGTAGTGTAGATGTCCAGTCAACAAGGATGTAGCGAGGTTGACTGTCCAGGCGACACACGTACTAAGGTATCGTCATGAGCTAATGTTCACATGTAAACAGCAGGTCATGTAGTGTAGATGTCCAGTCAACAAGGATGTAGCGAGGTTGACTGTCCAGGCGACACACGTACTAAGGTATCGTCATGAGCTAATGTTCACATGTAAACAGCAGCTCATGTAGTGTAGATGTCCAGTCAACAAGGATGTAGCGAGGTTGACTGTCCAGGCGACACACGTACTAAGGTATCGTCATGAGCTAATGTTCACATGTAAACAGCAGGTCATGTAGTGTAGATGTCCAGTCAACAAGGATGTAGCGAGGTTGACTGTCCAGGCGACACACGTACTTAGGTATCGTCATGAGCTAATGTTCACATGTAAACAGCAGGTCATGTAGTGTAGATGTCCAGTCAACAAGGATGTAGCGAGGTTGACTGTCCAGGCGACACACGTACTAAGGTATCGTCATGAGCTAATGTTCACATGTAAACAGCAGGTCATGTAGTGTAGATGTCCAGTCAACAAGGATGTAGCGAGGTTGACTGTCCAGGCGACACACGTACTTAGGTATCGTCATGAGCTAATGTTCACATGTAAACAGCAGGTCATGTAGTGTAGATGTCCAGTCAACAAGGATGTAGCGAGGTTGACTGTCCAGGCGACACACGTACTAAGGTATCGTCATGAGCTAATGTTCACATGTAAACAGCAGGTCATGTAGTGTAGATGTCCAGTCAACAAGGATGTAGCGAGGTTGACTGTCCAGGCGACACACGTACTAAGGTATCGTCATGAGCTAATGTTCACATGTAAACAGCAGCTCATGTAGTGTAGATGTCCAGTCAACAAGGATGTAGCGAGGTTGACTGTCCAGGCGACACACGTACTAAGGTATCGTCATGAGCTAATGTTCACATGTAAACAGCAGGTCATGTAGTGTAGATGTCCAGTCAACAAGGATGTAGCGAGGTTGACTGTCCAGGCGACACACGTACTTAGGTATCGTCATGAGCTAATGTTCACATGTAAACAGCAGGTCATGTAGTGTAGATGTCCAGTCAACAAGGATGTAGCGAGGTTGACTGTCCAGGCGACACACGTACTAAGGTATCGTCATGAGCTAATGTTCACATGTAAACAGCAGGTCATGTAGTGTAGATGTCCAGTCAACAAGGATGTAGCGAGGTTGACTGTCCAGGCGACACACGTACTAAGGTATCGTCATGAGCTAATGTTCACATGTAAACAGCAGGTCATGTAGTGTAGATGTCCAGTCAACAAGGATGTAGCGAGGTTGACTGTCCAGGCGACACACGTACTAAGGTATCGTCATGAGCTAATGTTCACATGTAAACAGCAGGTCATGTAGTGTAGATGTCCAGTCAACAAGGATGTAGCGAGGTTGACTGTCCAGGCGACACACGTACTTAGGTATCGTCATGAGCTAATGTTCATATTTAAACAGCAGCTCATGTAGTGTAGATGTCCAGTCAACAAGGATGTAGCGAGGTTGACTGTCCAGGCGACACACGTACTTAGGTATCGTCATGAGCTAATGTTCACATGTAAACAGCAGCTCATGTAGTGTAGATGTCCAGTCAACAAGGATGTAGCGAGGTTGACTGTCCAGGCGACACACGTACTTAAGTATCGTCATGAGCTAATGTTCACATGTAAACAGCAGCTCATGTAGTGTAGATGTCCAATCAACAAGGATGTAGCGAGGTTGACTGTCCAGGCGACACACGTACTTAGGTATCGTCATGAGCTAATGTTCACATGTAAACAGCAGCTCATGTAGTGTAGATGTCCAGTCAACAAGGATGTAGCGAGGTTGACTGTCCAGGCGACACACGTACTTAGGTATCGTCATGAGCTAATGTTCACATGTAAACAGCAGCTCATGTAGTGTAGATGTCCAGTCAACAAGGATGTAGCGAGGTTGACTGTCCAGGCAACACACGTACTTAGGTATCGTCATGAGCTAATGTTCACATGTAAACAGCAGCTCATGTAGTGTAGATGTCCAGTCAACAAGGATGTAGCGAGGTTGACTGTCCAGACGACTGTATTCATGTAGAATGTATAAAATGTTTTTGTAAATTTCTGTTTCTAGATAATCAAGACGATGTATTTATAGTAACTGTAAATGGATTGTTAGAACGCTATGTAAGAAAGAATGGTTCAAATTTTTACTATCCGCCATTCAAATATATAGAAGGCGAAATCATCACGGTCTCTTGCGAAACTAAACTAAAGTATCCATTGCAGTTTTATTTTGGAACATACGGAGATAGCACAGGAATCAAAGGTTAGTGATTAATAGGTTTTTCAAAAAAAAATCTTAGTAATAGCATGGACCCTGGAATTGTTCCCGGTACCTATATGGCAATAGTGATTATTGCTATATAGGCATTTTATTGTCATTAGTGAATATTGCCATTAGGCATTGCCATATAGACTATATTACATGGACTCGTAACATAACGGAGGTCCTGGTAACGGTAACTGGATGGAGGTGCGCTCCCTGCAGTTACTTATGTTTCCTTCTTACAACTACGTATTTTTACAACTTCTTTAGTGTTTACCTATTCAATAGTGGTATATGTATAAATGGTATATATAAATGGTATATTTTTTTACAATGCTATATTATAACAATTACTTATACAATATTTAGTTACAATATAATAATAAGTAAATACAAAAATTACATATCTATTTTTATATATTTAATCATAGTTTCTGGCTTGCACAATTTTGGTTGTTACATACACCTTATACGCATTTTACATTACACATGACCTCAAAACATTTTAAAATTGGTTTTATAAATGCTGGCTCGCTGGGTACTCATCACGACGAGTTTGTTGTTGCCATGGATAGACATAGTGTTGATATTATGGCAATAAATGAGACTTGGCTCAGGGATGGAGAGGAGGGGCGTGCACCGATCGTACCTGGCTACCGTCTGCGTCACCTGCCGCGCCCGCTGAGCGTGCGCGGCTGCCGCGGCGGCGGAGTTGGGTTTTATATAAAACGAGGAGTCAATATGCGTGCGCACCCTCACCCGGTTGACCCGTCTCATGGTTCGGTCGAAAAAATGTGGTTAGTGTTGAACATTAATGGTACGAGGCTTGCCGTAGGCACGGCATACAGGCCACCATGGTTAGATATCGATTTATTTTTCGATGGTCTCACTGCTTCTATAGACTCGCTTTCATTTTGTGACCACACTGTTCTCCTTGGAGACTTTAATATAAATTTTTTGAGCTGTTCTGAGATAAAAGTTAACAAATTAAATTCATTTTTGAAATGCTTTAATTTAAAGCAAATTATAACGTCGCCAACACACTTCACAAATACTACCGAGACCCTCATTGACCTTGTCTGCACGGACGCTCGCGTTATTGGCCATGTGGTAGACCCAATCGAGGCGCTGGGGGCGCATGCTTTTGTGGCAGTGATGTTTAACTTTAGAAGGAACAAGCCGCTGCCACTAACCGTAACCAAGAGGAGCTTAACTAAAATTTGCCCTAACAGGTTTAACGATGACTTGCAATCTATCGACTGGCATATAACTGGTCAGACATGCAATATAAACGTCATGGTGGACAGGTTAAACCAATGTCTAATTAACCTTTTTGACAAACACGCACCTCTCAAGACGCATGTTATTAGAGAGAAATCGTATCCATGGATTACGGATAACCTTAAACTCATGATGAATTTGAGAAACAAAGCCTATGCAAGTTATATGGAAACTAAGTCAGAATCAAAAAAAAAATATTACAAAGACCTAAAAGCACTCGTAAGAAAATCTCTATTTTATGAGAAGGTAGCTTACTTTAGGACAAATATAAATAACAAAATTAATTATCCCAAAATCCTTTGGAATAATATAAAAACAACCTTGTTGCCTCTAAATCGTAATACCGAACTACCGTCGCACTTTACTGATCCGAATAAAATAAATACCCACTTTCTAAATGTTCCAGGAACCATGATCTCATCTATAAGTAGTTTGAGTTATTATGAGTTTCACAGATTCGCTGACAGTACTTTTGCACTGCGAACGGTTGATGACATTGATATTATTAAAGTTATTAAAAGTCTCACATCGAATGCCGAGGGGCATGATTGTATTACTCTGAACATGTTTATTATGACACTACCCTACACCTTGACATGCTTGACAAACATCATAAATACATCAATCACCACCTCAACCTTTCCTGACTATTGGAAACTGGCAATTGTACGCCCGATACCAAAAAAATGCTCGCCTACCGTTGTGACTGATCTTAGACCCATTAGCATTCTGCCCCTGTTATCTAAGGTTCTGGAGAGGGTGGTAAACACACAACTGACACAATACCTAGAGGCAAATGCCATTCTTCCTGAATTACAATCAGGCTTCAGGAGGGGTCGTGGCACAACGTCGGCTTTGCTTGATGTCACTGACAACATACTGTCTGCACAGGACAAGGGCTTCTGTACTATCTTGGTGCTATTAGACTTTTCCAGGGCTTTCGATGCCATAAATTTAACGCTCCTGCTGTCGAAACTGGCTTTTTATGGCTTTGATACTCCAACTGTGAGATGGTTCGACAGCTACCTCAGCAATCGTGCTCAGTACGTCGAATTACGAGATCAAAAGGGAAATATCAATAAGTCACAAACGACTCCCCTAATAAAGGGCGTGCCTCAAGGCTCAATTTTAGGCCCCACATTATTTATTACATATAGCGCAGACATGGTAAAGGAAATTAAGCATTGTCAATACCATGTATACGCTGATGATCTTCAAATATACTTGTCATTTAAACCTCAAGACTATGAGTCTGCCACCAAAAAAATAAATAAAGATCTGGAGGGTATATTTGTATGGTCGGAAAAAAATTCCTTAATACTAAACCCAGCCAAAACCAAATTTATGATCTTTGGCACCCCAGGCTTATTAGATAAAATTCCACTGAGCACTTCCGTAAGCATTAATGTAAAGGGTCAAAATGTAGAAAGAGTAAGTGAGGCGAGAAACCTGGGCCTTGTAATGGATGAAGGTCTAAGGTTTGAACAGTTTACTTCTGATTGTGTAAGAAGTTGCTTCTACCGTTTGAAAATTTTATATAAAATACGACCCTACTTGTGCGAGGAGCTGCGTGAGCGGTTGGTGGAGAGTTTGGTTCTGTCAAAACTAAACTACGCAGATACTGTTATAGGCCCCAGGCTCTTGGCACGCACCGGGAGATTAATACAAAGAGTACAGAATGCCTGCGCACGATTTTGCTACAGTGTTCCACCAAGGAGTCATGTAACACCATTTTTGAACAAACATAACGCATTAAAAATGAAATCACGCCGGAAACTCCACCTCGCCTGTCTAATGTTCGACGTGATAAAACACAAGTGTCCTCCATACCTGTACTCTAGGTTTGAATGGGTTAACAGTCACCGGGAGCGTGAGGGTAGGCGGTGTGCTCAGCAGCTCGCTATTCCTCGGCATAGAACTGCAGCTTTTCGAGGCAGCTTCCGTTACGCGGCTTCCAAGTGCTGGAATAATATTCCACCACCAATTAGAAATCTGAAAAATAAAAACACGTTTAGGTTAAAATTAAAAACTTTTATTTTGACATCCCAAATTAAATTTAACGACATTAATATTGACAATTCCTTTATCTAATTTCAGTTTATTGTTCCAATTTATTCAAATTACACTTACTTTTATATGCCAACTTGGAAGTCTTTGCGTGTTGGTTGGGTGCTCAACGTGTGAGCATTGTTTTAATGTACCTCGCCATTATTTTAATTCTCGTAATTAAGTTGAGTGTTTTAATTGTGATCATTTCGCCACTCGTAAACTATGCTGGAGTTTGGTGTCCTGTGGCCGGCGGCTGTTTCTTTGTGGGTACGCGTCGGAATGAATCAGAGCTCAGCAGAGTTGTCACTAAAACTGTCTTTGTTTGACAATCAAAAATGTGAAATAACCCCCAATTAATTAAAAAAAAAGAGTAAACGTCAAAAGAGACTAACTCTTATAATTGCATTTTTACATTTTGTTTGTATGTATATACATGTACTATCGGTTATATATGTTATTCTATTCTCAATTTTTCACACACACACACACACACACACACACACATATTCAGCTAAATTTATATTATTTATACAACTGCATGTTTATTTTTTGTCTTCATTGAGGGGCGGCACCGCCGTCCGTGAGTCACTGCAGGGTGCCACCTGAAAACCAGCGTTGGGCACAAACGTCCAACTATATGCTGAGGTGGAGGCCCTTTTGGCATTAGCACGCGCAAATTAAAATTAATATTATTATTTTGTTTATTAGATTTTTTTTTTTTTATTGTTTATTCAAAATTCTGTATGTATTGTATGTATTCTGTAGATGTATTTTTATTTTTTTATATTCTTTGTTTTCTGTGCGTGTAATTGCCAAATAAATGATTTTTCTTTCTTTCTTCTTTCTTTCTTTCAATTACCCCCTCCCTAGTCCCCGTCTCCCGAATCCCCGAATCCTCCACAATCCTCAAATTCCCAATTCCCAAAAGGCTGTAACGCATTAGTGTTTCGAGTCCATGGGCGGCGCCGATTGCTTAACATCAGATGCTCCGTCTGCTGGTTTACCGGCTTATGCTATAAAAAAAATAGTGAAAAGAGGGCTCCATTGTACAGTGGCATTAAGTGGCATAATATGCAACTTTGCCTATCTCTGTGGGTATAAAACGCGTGATATTTTTATTATGTACTGTTTAAACTAATTTTGTTAATAATATTCACTTGCAGTTAAGAGTGTGAATGACAAAATAGTTGCTGTTATAAATTCATCTGCTGTTCTTTTGAACAGGAAAACTCTTTTATGTGGATTTTATACGAACAAAAATGTGACGAACGTATTTGCCAGGATGACATTCAGGTCGGATATTGCAGGTTCGTATTAAGGTCTTTGGTGTGCAGAGGTAGGTAAATATAGTAGGTAAGTAGGTAAATCCGGTTCTTTTTTTTTAAGGGGGAAAATCATCGAATGGATGCTCCCACCTGGGTGAGGCGGGAGGGAGTGTTAGACTCTTACTGACTACAAACCACCCCGTTCCTTCTCCTGCACTTCGACCCGGAGCCCCGGCAACCCGGTAGCTTCTCCGCGACTCCGAATCGGCATGAGCCCTATTGGGCTCCATCCGTGGTGGTCTGATGGCTCCTTGAAACGCGCGCGGAACGCGACGCGCCGTACACTCGGGCCTGGTTCTGGTCGGACGGTGAGCCACCCATGCTCACCGTCCGCGGCAGGCCCGCGCTCACGGTGGCCGGAGATCGTCCCGCGATCCCCGACGCCCGGAGTGTCCTTTGCGATGGCTGGGTTGCGAGGAGGCAGCGCTTCGCTGCGTCACGCGTCCCGCCTCCTCCTTAGCTAGCATGACTGCTTCGCAACAGGAGAAGAGGGCATCCCAGCCCCCCTCGCTCCGCATCATGACCCTCACTAGGGCCGGACGCGAGAGGTCGCCATCGCTGATCACGTCCCTAAGGGCACGGCGGTGCTCAGCCAACGCAGGGCATTCCGCTACAGTGTGTTCCACCGTGTCCTCAGTGCAGTACTCACAATGGTGACACCCGCGCGTTTCCTCCCGCCTCATCATGGGACTCATAACATAAATAGTGAAAAGTGGGTGTTAACTTCTGCCTACCCCTTCAGGGATATAAGGCGTGATGTTATGTTATGTAAATAACTTTGTCGCAATTACCTAGTCGTACCAATAACATTTTTCTTAAATCTTTCTTCCCTTTGTATTTTTTTCTTAAAACATAAGTTTCCACCTGTTTTCTATTAGTATAGTCTACTTAATATTTTTTCTCTGTATCTATGTGCGTGCCTACTGTCTCTTTCTTTCTAGTTAACGCTCTTCTGTTTATTTTCAGATCGTACAGTACGTATCTTCGGTCTGCACAGACCCAATATTCTGTATGAGTACCTCAGCGGTAACATCTGGACAACCGTCTACCAGTACTCGGTAGACGAAACTTTAAGCTTGGGATGTGTTCTGAATACTTTGCCCAAAGAAGATTATAAATTCAAGTGGACTGTTAATGGTAAGTAATTAATGTCCAAATACTCAATTATCATCATCATCATCAACAGCCTATAAGTTGCCACAGCTGACCAAAGGCTTCTCCTTACACGGGGAAGGTTAGAGTATTAATCACCACACTTGCTCATGCGGGTTGGCGATTTCAAACTTATAAATAGAAATTATAAGCCCAAGGTTTCCTCGCGATGTTTTCCTTCACTGTATGTCTAGATAATCATAGAAAGTACATATAACGCGGAAAAAGTTACATTGGTACTTGCCGTTGGTAAGTTGCGAGTGGCGACGTCGCGCAGATCATGAGGAAGAACCCCTCTGTGGTTCGAAACTAGTAAAGCTTTTTTCAGTATATTCACGTGAGCAACCCGCGATTTTGGTTAATATAGTGTTTATCTATATTTTTACAGGTATCGCGTCAAAAAAGTTAGGATACAGAGACAAATTATTGAATGGCATGAAGTATATAGAGGAAAATATAACACTAAAATTAACTGAAAACAACGATAAAAAAGTCATTAAATGCATTGCTTACAAAAATGGGAAAATGTTCAATTTTACTCAAGTGAAATTACAACTGAAAGATACATCGAACAATGAATACTTAGAAGCTGATATTAATACATGTAAGTCACTGATGCGAAAAGAGAAGTGTATTCGTTATGACGTCACTGATTCATATTTTTACAAGCTTTAACTAAATCTGTTAAATTACTGTGTATAACATACATCTACATTTTTTTTTAAATATTACATTTCTTATTCTCCACGGACTCTTGTCCGTGCCCTTGTCATTCCATTACATTATCTTTTAATTTACAGTCAAAATTAATTGTTACAAAAATCTTACGTGCTACATTAACCACATTTTTTTTTCACAAAGAAGGTTGTGTCTAATATCTATATGTAAAGAAAAAACATACTATTTCTTTAGTTTTATGTAGTCTATGCCATATTTTATCTGTAAACTCTATAATCTCTGGTAATTAAAAGAATTTTGATGTGTAATGGTTTACAGAAAAATACAATGTGCTAATATTTAGAAAAGAAATTGTTAATTGTTGAGAATTGAAGTTAAAACTGTAAAGGAATAAACTTTAAAAGTCGTTTCTTTGATTACAGGTAAATAGGCAATAAGATAAAGTTGTAATTTAGTTTATTTAATGTGTTCATGTTTTTAAGAATAAATCTTTGATTACAGAGCAACGCAAGTTTATTTTCTTTATAAAAATCAGACTGAAAGAGTCTTATAAAACGACTTTTTTGTTTATAACGAAATAAACGAACAATAAAGATGGATAAGCTTTGTTTCGAATTCACCATACTACCCGGGAGCGATGTAAAATCGAATATCTGTTGTCTAACCTCAATAACGACAGTTGAAGGAAAAGTGTATACCATACCAGAGGAGTTTAAACCCGTTACTCATCACAAGGAACTGATTAAAACTGCAGTCTTCAATAAAGTGAAAAACAGCTTGAAGAAAAGATACCAGACACGAAAAGTCTGGATATCCATGGTAGGAGACTTAAGAAAAACCTACTTGGATGAGGAGGAAAACCTGCAATTTGAAGAACAGTATTTAGAGGAAACACAAGTAAACACAGGTGCAGCTACACAGGATACGGAAACAAGTGTATTGGAAAAGTTATTTGAAAAATTAGTTCAGAACACACAGGAATCTAAACAACAAAACCTTAAAAAAATCACTGAGAAGTTTGTGATTGAAAGTTTACTAGCAGAAATCCTAACGCAAGTCGGTGGATTGACACATTCGACAAAGAATGCACACGTTTCGGTGTAACTGAAGAGAAAAAAAAATCGAGGCACTCAGATTGTTTATGGATAAGTGCTGTATAGATTGGTATAATTCAATGATTATAAAATTCACTATAGATTCAGAATGGAACACATGGAAAAAAGATTTTGCGAAACATTCACAAATAGAGGGTGGAACCACATTAGTTATGCCTTGGTTCAAATACAAAGATGGTTTGTTGGTGGATTATGCCATTAAAAAAGAGAAACTGTTATTAGAAATGAGAAATTCAATTGATACTGGTACGCTAATAGATTTAATTGCGGTGGGTCTACCGGAACATGTTCTAAACAGATTGACAGAGAGACATTGAAAGATACAGTGGATCTTTTTAATGAAGTCAGAAAACTGGAACATTTGGTAAGTAAAAGAAGTTATTCAAATTACAGAAAATATTCAGGAAATTTAAGAGGAAACAATAATAATAGGAATGAGGAGAAGAACCCGTGTAAAACTTGTGAAAAATTAAACAAAGGAATTCGCTACCATTCAGAGTCTGCCTGTTGGTTTAAAACTAAAGAAGAAGACAAACTGAAAGAAAAAAACATTAAACATGTAAACAATTCTGTTATAGAAGCCGAATTGCATGAAACTGAACAAAAAAACTAATAATGACACCATTAATAAACATTAAACTTCTATTAAATGATACATTAGGAATTTATGGAGTTTATGATTCTGGATCAAATGTTTCACTGATAAATTCGAAGCTACTAAAATTAAAAGGAAAAGAAACATTTTGAATGAAGCAAGTTTGGTTACAATTAATGGTGTCAAAAAGGCGAGTGGTTTGACAAACTTAAAAATAAAAATATTTGATATAGAAGAGGAGGTTGAAGTTTATATTATAGATGAACAGAATTTCAAATACGATTTCTTGATTGGATTAGACATGATAAAAGTTCAGGTTAATTCAAAATGAAGATTTACAAATCACCCAAAAATTAAATTTGGATACAGAGACAACAAAAGAAATTGTTTCAAATGTAAAATCAAGCACAGAAGAAAGGAAAATAAAGGAAGTAGATGAAATTCCTATGAATGTAATAGCAAAGGCTAAAGAAGAAAGAATAGATAATAAAAATATGAAAGAATACAGAATTAATTTTAATGAACATGTACAAGAAGATCAATTCGATATAAAAACTAATCATTTAAATGGCCACCAGAAGTCAAAAATAGATAAACTCATTAATAAATTCAGTTCAGTTTTTGCTAAGAATAAATATGATGTGGGGACCGTTAAAGGATACGAAGCTAGAATAGACTTATTAGTAGACAAATATTGCAGTAAAAGGCCTTATAGGTGTACTATAGATGATAAAAAAGAAATAGAGGAACAAATCGGAAAACTTTTAGATAATAAACTTATTGAAGAGTCATACAGCCCGTTTGCCGCTCCGGTGACACTGGCGTTTAAACTGTCAAACACCAAGCGGTCACCGGTGACCGCGAGCTATTGTTCTTTAATTGTGTCTATAAAGCCGGTACTCGACGAGTTAAAAAAGAAGAAAACAAGAAATCCAGGTTATGCATAGATTTCATGAATTTGAATAAAATAGTAGTGCCAGAAGCTCAACCATTTCCTTTAATAGAAGACTTAATGACTAAAACAAGAAATTGCAATTTTTATTCAACCTTGGATATAAATTCTGCATTCTGGTCCATTCCCCTACGAATAGAAGACAGAAAAAAAACAGGATTTGTCACACAGGATGGTCATTTCCAATGGACTTGTCTGCCATTCGGATTGAAAACTGCACCGGCTATTTTCCAACGGATATTAAGTAACATACTAAGAAAGAATAAACTTACAGATTTTGCTGTAAATTTCATAGATGATATTTTAATATTCAGTCAATCATTTGACCAACATATTCTTCACCTAACACAACTATTGGAAGCAATCAAAGCTGAAGGATTCAGATTAAAATTTAAAAAGTGCACATTTGCATCAGACTCTGTGAAATACCTGGGTCACATAATTCAGAATAATTCTATTAAACCAGTTAAAGATAATCTAATTTCTATAAGGAATTTTCCTACCCCAAAAACGCAGAAGAATGTAAGACAGTTTCTAGGAAAAATAAACTTTTATAATGAATACATACCAAGGAGTGCAATAATATTAGATCCGCTACATAATTTATTAAGGAAAAATCAACCATTTATCTGGTCAGACCAATGCCAAAAAGCATTTGAGAAAATAAAAACTCTCCTATGCTCACAACCTGTGCTTGCAATTTTTGATAAAGATCTACCTATTAATATATACACAGATGCATCTATAGAGGGTGTTGGAGCCATTTTGAAACAAACTCAGCCTGATGGAAAAGAAAAACCAGTGGCCTATTTTTCTAAAAAGCTTAATGGATCTCAAAAGAAAAAAAAAGCAATATACTTGGAGTGCCTAGCCATAAAAGAAGCTGTGCGATATTGGCAGTACTGGTTGATAGGCAAATCATTCACAGTTTATTCGGATCATAAGCCATTAGAAAACATGAATTTGAAATCAAGACCGGACGAAGAGCTAGGTGACTTGACATACTATTTGTCCCAATATAACTTTGTTATTAGATATGCTCCAGGAAAGGAAAATTTGGAAGCGGATTGCCTGAGTAGAAACCCTGTTATGGAATCAAATGAAAATACAAATGAACAATTGAAGATTGTAAACTTGGTAAATCTGGAAGAAATTTTAATAGACCAGGAAAAAAATGAAGAAATACAAAAGAATAAAGAAAGAATTATGAATAAACAAGATATATATTACAAGAAGGTTAAAAACAGAGAAAAAATAATTTTGTCAGAAGAATTCAGTATCAAACTTTTGAAAAACATACATGACTACCTCTGTCATATTGGAATAAAACAATTACAAAAGACAATTAGTCCTCTATATACAGCAAGAAATTTAACGAAAAACATTAAAAAAATATGTAGCGAGTGTGACATTTGTATAAAAAATAAATCAAGAGGACAGAATAAATTTGGATATATGTCTCATCTGGGGCCAGCCACAAAACCATTTGAAATAATATCAATAGATACAATAGGGGGTTTTGGTGGTTCAAGATCTACAAAAAAATACTTGCACTTGTTAGTAGATCACTTCACTAGACACGCATTTATACTAACTTCAAAAACTCAGAATGCAAATGACTTTATTAAACTAGTCAACAATGTATCAGAAACAGAAAACATAGGAATGCTGCTCACAGATCAATATCCAGGTATAAATTCGAAAGAATTCAAGACATTCCTAAAAGACAATCACATTACTATGGTATTTACTGCAGTGAACTCACCTTTTTCAAATGGTCTAAATGAGAGATTAAATCAAACACTAGTCAACAAAATCAGATGCAAAATTAATGAAGATGGAAATAAAAGAGCCTGGACAACAATAGCGCATGAGTGTGTGAGTAAATATAACCAAACTACTCATTCAGTAACTGGTTTTTCACCAAGTTATCTTTTATATGGTACAGATGTCACAGTTTTACCAAAGGAATTAAAGAAAGAAAATACACATGTTGACTGGGTCAGAGACAGAACAATAGCACTTAAGAATACAATAAAATCACATAACTACAACAAGACAATATTCGACAAAAATAGAAAATGCCATGAATTCAACGTTGGAGATATGGTGTATGTGGAAAACGGAAATAAGCTCAATAGGAAAAAATTAGAAGAACTGAAAATTGGACCTTTCCGAATCATTGAACAGGTTTCAAAATCAATTTATAGAATTGACGTAGGACACAAGAAAATGGAATCGAACCTTTTCCATATCACAAAACTTATTCCAATACCAATGAAACAGGAAGAATCAAGCAGTGAAGAAGAAGGAATTGGGTTGTCTTAAAAGAAAATTTGCCCGTGGAAAATTTTCTTCCTGAGGGGGGGAGATGTAAAGAAAAAACATACTATTTCTTTAGTTTTATGTAGTCTATGCCATATTTTATCTGTAAACTCTATAATCTCTGGTAATTAAAAAAATAAGAATTTTGATGTGTAATGGTTTACAGAAAAGTACAATGTGCTAATATTTAGAAAAGAAATTGTTAATTGTAATAGAATTGAAGTTAAAACTGTAAAGGAATAAACTTTAAAAGTCGTTTCTTTGATTACAGGTAAATAGGCAATAAGATAAAGTTGTAATTTAGTTTATTTAATGTGTTCATGTTTTTAAGAATAAATCTTTGATTACAGAGCAACGCAAGTTTATTTTCTTTATAAAAATCAGACTGAAAGAGTCTTATATATATATATACAATACATGTTTTATTACATTTACATTAACCTTACTGGATCGGCCCACACGCGCGATGAGCGAGCCGACCTGCTCCAGCAGAATGCTACATACATCTACGTTTAAAACTACTTCGTTGGGCGACTGCCAGACAAGGGGTCTCGGGTTCGATTTCCGGTTTGAGCAAAGTATTAATGGGTTTTTAAAAAAAATCTCAGAGGTAGTAAGGAGTCTGGAAAAGGGTAGTTGCCAGGGAACGAAAATTAAAAATCTAATTAGTCCGTCTGTTAGATAAAATATTACACACGTATATTTTTATTTTCTCGTTAGATAAAATTGAGTTAAGCCAATAGTCAATAGTTAGATAAAATTGAGTTAAGTTTAGGAGTGGGAGGTCGTTGCGTCACAAAGTGCTACAAAATGTAGCGCATTGTGACGTCACACGATATTTCAGATTAATATTTCGTCGCGAGTATTTAGTTTTGTGAGAAAATAAAAAATACGTGTTTAATGTTTTAAATTTATCTACCAGACGGACATTAAAATAAAATTTAGGCAACTACCCTATTATGCCCGGTATATGGCAATAGGCTCACCCCCTATTACATGGGACTCATAACATAAATAGTGAAAAGTGGGTGTTACATTGTACAGTAGCATTAAGTGCCGTAATGTGCACCTCTGGGGATCAGTCCAATTCCTTCGGGGATAAAAGGCGTGATGTTATGTTAGATTAATTTGTCGTTTCATTTGCAGATAAGACCATACTACTAATACTACTTTACTTAGCCGTCGGTGTGGCTTTTATTACCATCATGATATACAGCTTTATTTTCTGGCGCAAAAGGGCCAAAATGGCGAGACTACTCAAAGTAAGTTTGTTGTTTTTTGCTGTATACATTTATTTTATCTCTGGACAAACTAACCTAACGGGTAACCGGGGCTCCGGCTCGACGTGCAGGAGAAGGAACGGGGTGGTTTTTAGTCAGTAAGAGTCTGACACTCCCTCCCGCCTCACCTAGGTGGGAGCAGTCATTCGATGATTTTCCCCCCTTAAAAATAAAATAAAAAAAATGTACATATACATATATATATGTTTTTATTCAACCTGTTTTTATAATAACTATCGTGAGACATACTAAATCAAGTAAAAACGCGGGTTACTCAGTGAGCTGCGTGACGTCGCCGCGACCGCGCACGCTGCTCATGAGGAGACCCCTCTGTGGTTCGAAACTAGTAGAGCTTTTCTCAGTATATTCACGTGAGTAACCCGCGTTTTTACTTGATTTATACAATCTACTGACTTTAGAGCTTCCAGTTCCATTTTTGAGTTGGGTTAAGCCGTAAATATTATATAAATATAATAAATATCTTAACTTGACTGCCTCATTTAACCACGACACAATAGATAATCCTAATGCGAGGCAACGGAAAATAAAGAGTACGATACTCTCTCTCATTTAGCCTTTAAATTAAATAATGTAATGTGATTGTAATAAATTTACTAAATATTCATTTCAGAACCCTTACGACAACATTTCAAATCAAAACGAAAGCCCAATACCGCCTTTTCCACCGCAGTGGGACGAAAATGACCACTACACAAAAATCGATGACGGCGTTATGCAAGAAAACTACTCATACGGGAAAAATGATAACAAGATGCCAAAGTATCCAAATCTGAGACAAAGTAACGGTCCATCAGAAAATCATTATACAGAAATAGACGATTATTTCAAAACACCATATAAATCAGCTGGTAAGAATGTGTATCAAGACATAAATGTTAACAAAAATATTAATCTAAACGATAATAAAGATACATATGATAAACTAAGACGTGATGATAAGTTAAATAAACAAAACACTGACAAAACTGCAATTTATGAAGCAGTACATGAAAAGCACAACAAAGCCGATCAACAAAATTTAGGAGATTATAAGAATATTAATGCAATGACAACTATAAATGATAGTGCCTACGCCTATGCATACGATACACGACCAGTTGATGCAAAATGCCGGAATAAGGACAGAAGTGCCTTGGATTATGATGTGCCATATAGTATAAGTGATGTAAGTCGAGAAAATGAATGTTATGTAGGCCCAGATACGCCTAAAACTTAAAATTACATAAATCCTGAATGCCTATATTAATATAGATAGGATAAGGCCATTATGGAATAGGAGGCAAACGAGCAAACGGATCACCTGATGGTAAGCGATCAGCGCCGCCCATGGACACTCGCAATACCAGGGGAGTCACAGGTGCGTTGCCGGCCTTTTAAAAAGGAATACGCTCTTTTCTTGAAGGTTTGATGGTCGTATCGGTTCGGAAATATAAGAGATATATACATATAAAACATAAACTATAAGAGGAGAACTACCGTGCGCGGTCACACTTCCAGCCTCTTTATGAGACAATTTATAGACGACTAGCTTCTGCTGGCGGCTTCGTTCGCGTCCTCATGAGATAAAAAGTAGTCCATGTGTAATTCCAAACCATAATCTACCCTTGTTGCAAATGACAATGCCAAATCCTGACCCAGTCAAATTATCATTTACAAAAAAAGTAAATTGATGAAAATAATTTTGACAAATAATTTCACTATAGATCTTTTTATTTTTAAACTTGCGGTTTACAATTTAATAAAAAAAGAAGTTCAATCCCGGAAATACTTTTTTGCAGTGCGCATTCTAATTATATTGTCGAATGACTATTTGCGTTACATTATACGCATCGCTTGTACGAAACTATGAAAATAAAAAAGTAAGTAACTGTAAAAAGATATCATTATACGTAAAATATTATATCAAGAGTATAACTATGAATAACATTTATTCATTTATGAATAATTACAGATGAAATTGCATACAATCACGAAAATAAAAAATAAACGATTACTATCATTAGTTATGATTTTTTCGTGTAATGAAACGTTTTGAAGCGCTCGTCAGCTGTCAGCTGTCAGTGTCAATATTATCTTTCATTCGCTCTCTGAGTTTCCGTTGTTTTCGCGTTATGTTTTGATTATTGTTTTGTGTTTTAAACAAAAACCGCAAGTTTTACAGGTTTCAGGACAAATGTTTAGGTATCTGTAATACACAACACGATGCTGAATACTGCATGCTTGTACATGACTTCTAATATAGTGGGTCAAAGATGTACTGAGCACCTGGCATTGTCCTTTCATCCCGATCCCTTCAGCCGTTTCGACGTGAAAGAGTGACAAACAAACATACATATAATAATTTTGTACTAAAATTGTGTGAATATGATGTTATTAGAATAATTAAAGTTATTTATAATTTAGTATTGTAATTGTGTTTTTTATTTACATGTGAATTTTAGAACTGCTTCATTGGCCGAGTGGTCGCAAGTGTGACTGGGCAAGGGGTTTCGGGTTCGATTTCCGGGCCGGGCAAAGTATTACTGGGTTTTTAAAACAATCTCAGTAGTAACACGGAGTCTGGAATAGTGTCCGGTATATGGCAATAGGCTCACCCCCTATTACATGGGACTCATAACATAAATAGTGAAAAGTGGGTGTTACATTGTACAATGGCGTTAAGTGCCGTAATGTGCACCTCTGCCTACCCCTTCGGGGAAGAAAGGCGTGATGTTATGTGAATTATAGAAACGTTTGGAATGAAGATAGATGGAAAAGCATTCCTGAAGCGCAATAAAACCTAAATATTTAATACTAGTTTCTCCCAGCGGATTTGCCCGCTTTCCATGGGATACAAAGTATTTTATTTGTTACTAGCTGACCCGCACCCACTTCGTTGGGCGGTTAATAGCCCATGTCACTGTCCATCCCATTATTTACCTATCTCCACTTAAAAAAAAACATCAAATTTATTATTCCAGACCATGATCAACCCCCTTTTTTTTTAACCCCAAGGTGGGAAATCATCATGGAGCCCACTCGCCTGGGGAGGATGAAAGGGACTGTCAGACTCTTACTGACTAAAATCCACCCCGGTGTCCCGTCTCACACGTGGGTACGAGGGTGCGGGAGTCACATTCTTCCGCAGCCCCCGAACTCGTGGCGGCCTGCCTTACCAGGCCCCATCTCAAGATGCACGGAGAAGTGAGGTGTTGGTCTTTCCTTATAAGAGGATTTAGGGTTTAGCTATCCTTTTCGGAGAAAGGGTCTAATTCACAGAACATATAAAGAAGGCTAGAAAGGAAATAGTTCCTGATTTGTATCAGAACACGCGTCGCCGTTTATCCCCCACTCTTTAACTTTACTACAAGCAAGAGACCAATACCTACGCGGAAAATGCACACAAATAAACAACACGCACTAGGTTAAAAGATTTGTTATTAGTCGTCACACTGACGCAATCACTTCGTTTGACATACACTAATACAGGCGTAAAAAACTCATATATGGTAGAGGGAGCGAAAGGTCGATTATTGATATCGATAAAATTAATAGCATCTAGCTTCTTAATTTACATGTATTGCGGACTATGCGGATTTGTATAAGGCATATTGTGTACATGTATTTACGTTAATGTAAATAACTATACATAGAAAAATACATAACTGATTTTCAAAATCAATTACACTATTAACATTAAAATAATTTGACATGGAATATAATTATAAGTAAATTGTTGATTGATAGTAATCAAAAAAGTATAAAAAACCGAAAAGGTATTATTTCGATTTTATTTTGTTTTCAACTGTAAGTTTTATAAAAATATAAAAGGAGTCCGGGAAGTCATGGGGTCAAAAATAATAGATTTTTACTTAATACAAAATATATAAAAAATAGCGTAATTTCTCCCTAAGGAATGAAAAATCATAAAATAATGAAATATTGAGAATTATCATAACGTAACCATATCATGATATATCTAATCTGTGCTCAAAACTCTGTTATTGTCTCTGTTAGATATCATCATGACATTAGTATGATGACAACCGATAATCGTCGTTCTTATTTCTTTACTAATTAATATAAATAGGAATTATTATATAGTTTCGGTTACATAATTTCCTTTACTGAATGTGAGTGGTGTGCAAATTAACTTAAAAAGTACGTATAAGTTGTATGAAACAGCGCCGCAACCTCCAGGCTAACACAACATTTTAGCTCACGTAAATAAAGTCAGCTCTAAAAGCTCTGAAAACTAGAAAAGTCATCAGGTGTACATAGCTATTCTTAAAAAAGGTACAATACAATCTCTCCCAGGATATAATATCATTTTATTTGTTGTCATAGCTTTGTTCTCGAATAGAAAACCTCAACCCTAAGAATTTCTCATAGTTTCAACTATTTACATTTTGGGTCTAAGCATGTATGAAAGAGTATCCATCTTACGAAAAGCAAAAAAAAATATTTAGATGTCGCTTAGATGATATCAAGGTAGAAATGTAAAATAAAATTTCCTAAATCATAAAATCAGTCTACTTACTGAACAAAACATAACGAACACATAAAAAATTATATAAAACTGAAATACGAATAAAATGCCTCACTTAAAACCTATTTCATAATTAGTCGTAATAAATAAAATTATTTTAGTTATAATGTGTATAATTTGATAATAATCCTTTGTATCATAGTAATTATCGACATTGTTTACAAATTGACACTTCTCTATATCGATTCGAGGAAATGACGTTTTAATTTGATACTCGGGACTCTCGTTGTGAACGTAATACATTGCGCGATCGTTTATGTAGTGCAAAATGGTACGTATCTATTGCAAGCAATGTATACTGCTTGCGATAATGTCGTTTTTGTTTATAAACGTCATAATATTAATGTTATAATTACAAATATCACAAGTATATTAATGTTTTTGGAGTCACTGGTGGAAAGAAATCCCTTCTCGTGCTACATTGCACACCTGTCTTCTTTTCCGACACATTACAATAGTCCAAGACGGCATAATTTAATATTATTTGCGGAGTTTCGTACGCTGTCACAACAACATTGCGTTTGATGGCCGGTTTTTGACATTTTGGTAGATTTGGAGTATTTGATCATAACCGCGGCACGCGTGTACCGCCCACAAGGCCGTTCTATCCTCCTTTATATGTTCTGTGGTCTAATTATATCCTACTTACTTTACATGGATGACCTCATGTTCTTTGCTCCAAACAAGAAACAATTGATGGAACTCCTGAATATAACTGAAAAGTTTAGTAGTTCCATCAGAATGGAGTTTGGAGTAGACAAGTGTGCGGTCATGCGTGTAAAGCGAGGAGGGATTGTGGAATCTGAGGGACTAGAACTCTCAGATTTCACAAAGATGAGATCAGGATCAGGATTAGGCATCAATGGGCTGGACATGAAGCAATCGTTACAGGAGCGCCTCTTTGGCAGTCTAAATAATGATGAAAAGTGTCCTATATGTTATTCCGGACAATGACCAGACCCCTGTTCCAAATTTCATCTCGATCCCTTCAGCTATTTTGACATGAAGGAGAAACAAACACATTAACATACAAACTTTCTAATTTATAATATTAGTAGGATCAATATATCACTACAACAACGGCACCCCAGTGGCTTTAGCCAAACGCCACTTTAACGCTTGTCTACAGAGAGAGTAGAAAACTAAATGTATGGGGATGACACTGACAAGTGTCAAAATTTACGTCAATCCCATATAATTTGGTTTTCTATTCTACATGTAGACAAGCGCTTAATGGCATTTGGCTACAGCTGCAGTTTTCACACCGGCTTAGCATCGCAGTTCCAGGCAACTTTGGAGGCTAGATCATTGCCTCTGTTTCTGACAACAGACTGCAGGCTGCTACCCACCTGCTCCATAAATCAGGCAGCTCTACTGAACCCAAAAATTATACACCACATGTTTATCCCAACGGCCCTTTTTTTAAGGGGGGAAAATCATCGAATGACTTTTCCCGCCCGGGTGAGGCGGGAGGGAGTGTCAGACGCATATTAACAAAAACCACCCCATTCCTACTCCTGCACTTCGAGCCGGAGCCCAGGTAACCTGTTAAGTTTTCCGCGGCTCCGTATCGGCATCAGCCCTATTGGGCCCCATCTGTGGTGGTCTGATGGCTCTTTGAGGCGCACGCGGAACGCGACGCACAACACGCACGGGTCTAGTTCTGGTCGAGCTACCCATGCTCGCCG